TCTGCATTTTGTACTGACCGAAATACATCGATTGCAACTGACTAGAGATTGTAATGTAACAACAAAATCCACTTTTGCGAATTGGGGTTGGATAAAGGACCATGCAAGCTTAAATAACCAGCCTAGATCTCATTTTGGGGCTCTTTGAGATTATGATTAATGCAAAACCTGTTGAAGAAACGAAAGGCTTCTTTTTGTCCTTGGTAAAAGAAAGATTAAATCCAAAAAAAAAAAAAAGACAGATCTAGAGGAATGGTTATCTACCAATCTGTAACTCACATTCCAAAAAGTTAGGCAAATCTGAGCAAAAATGGAAACAGCCCAAAATTTGACATAGGCTAATATTGCCTCTGGCGCCTTAATTATTTATGCATTATGGATATAATGAAGTACATCTCTTGCTAAGTTTTAGAGGTAATTTGGTTCCATGCCCCTGCAAGCAGAGGTTTCTTCCTCAGCTGTGTGGCAGATCTGAGATTTAATAACAGGGGGGTATAAATTAAATTATGCCCTGTGACAGCTTTGATATTTTTATTTTACTAGATAAATGAATGGTACACTTGGACAAAGATGCCAGTGGTACTGATTTGCTTGAAAAATGGATAGCCATGTTTTTCATGTAAGTAACGATAATTCTGTTTTTATATAGGATTAAAATACCTTGCTGGCAGGTGTTATGTTTGCTATTTTTCAAGTGGTAATTGCAAGAAAGCTTTGAATGAACTTTAAGGATAAGCAGTGTAAAAAATGCTGATGTGGCATATTCAAATGGTTTATTAATGATTCTTATTCATTTGTAGGTCCATCAGAATTAGAGTCATTTTTTTTGTCCTTTGTGAAATTTGCATTTCAAAGAAGCATTATGGAGTCTTTTGGAAGAAGATGTGATCAATGTAAGTTCAAGAACTATTGCATGGTGATTATTATTTTGATTAGTGAAAAATGATACATGTAAATTTTTAGCTTTGTTATAATTATAGTATGCCACAACCATAAATATCCAAGTCTTGAACAAGAAAANGCTTTTCCCGTAAGATCTGCCTATATTTGATGATGGTTATCATATACCCATATTATGGGGTTACGGTAACCATGCTATTTCACGGTCCCTGTATACAACTAGTCTATGAAGAATCGAGAAATGACAATGTAGACGAACATCATTCAACTTATCAACCCTAACCCCAGCCTCTCTTTCACTACACTTTTCCCATAAGATCTGCCTATATGTTATGATGGTTATCATATACCCATATCATTATGTTCAGTAAAGAATCGAGATGTGAAAGTATAGACAAACTTGATTCAACTTTTCTCTTTATTCTCCTTCTTCAACACACTTTTCCCCTACGATCTGCCAATATTTTATTATGGTTATCGTATACCAATATTATGCAATCCATGCTATTTGACAGTCCCCGTACACGACTACTCTGTGAAGAGTCGAGATGTGACGAAAAAAACCAAACTTGATTATCTCTTTATTCTGTATCCTGTTTAGAACGTCGTGTCTCGATCCTATTTGAAACTATGCACGCAGTAATGAGGATCACGATCAGTAAATTTTACTTTGTTTCAAAACGGGTGAAGTGTTCGGTGTTGTAAACTGGTCTGGGTACGGGTTAGACATAAAAATCCTAACACTCTTTGTTTGGTTGATTCTTTCAATCTTTTTCGTTCTCAACAACAGGGACTAGCCACACTCCACAAAACACTCTGTGCATTGTATGGATATAAGGAGATGTGTTATTAGGCAATAAAAGTGCACCAATTGCACAGAAATGCATCCTGGTATGAACAACTAAGAACTCCTCACTTTCCCTCTAGGAAGTGAAACATAATTATAGTCTCTGATGATATCGTACGATATGGAAAATATTCCCATGAACAGAGTACCACTATCTCTTCCATCATACTGCAAGTTGGTTCTGCAGGATAGATTGGAGCATGGTCTGTAATAGAGTTTCAAAACAATTAAGACAGGCATATAAGTAAAACTCATTACCAAAATTAACTAAAAATTTACACAACAAACCTGCATAGAAACATTTCAACAATATTATCCTCTATAGTAATCATTGCTTTACATATATTAACATGTAAATAATTGCTATACACTAAATCCATAACCACAGTCACAGTGGTTGCTGAGTACACAGAAACATTTAAATTTCATTGACAATGAAATGACAGGAATGCAGTTACAAAATTGTCCAATATTTTCAGAATATTACTGCACCCTACACACTACAAATTGTTATCAACTGCAAATCATTTTATTTATTTACACACATTTTATCAAGCAACAATGCCATTACATGCATAATTACTGAACAGTTAGAGATGATATGGCTATACCTACCATTACACCCATACAAATGCTTCCTTGTATACAACTTAATGGAGTTCTGTTTCCAACAATGAACAACTGG